AAAAATAAAAAATAAGTATATGAAAGTAATATCTATTTATAAAAATGAATTAAAATAAAATGGAAAATAGAAAATTAAAAAAAAAAAAAAAACTTCCAAGTTTATATGCAATGCAATTTCAGTCTTAATAATTTGGATGTCCGTCTCAATCTCCAGTCCTGGAGTTGGTGCCTCAGATGTTGTTCTGTAGTTGTCTCATCAAAGGGGATGCATAAAGTAGAACAAAACTACACTCACACACACACAGAAGAAAAAAAAAAAAAAGCCCCACCAAGTGTCCCAGTTCAAATGCAATACAGTTTCAGTAAGTTTTTCGGCTTGCAGGTGTAATTCGGTTGTTCTCTCATCAAAGGTAGGGAGAAAAAGAAAAAAAAGCGTCTGGAGGCAGTTCTGAGAGTGGTATCTGCAACTGTGGCTTGCCTGCCTGCTGCTCTCAGCCTGTAGCTGGCGGCGTTATTTATGCAGATCTCTGGGGTGAGCTAGCACTCACCTGGTCCCACAGGCTTTGTTTGCTCAGAGTTCTCCTGTGCGGGGCCTCTGCTACAGGCTTTCCCTTTCCAAGCACTGGGAAAGGTGCCACTGCCCCACGTTGTCAGGCCTGCGTGTTTATTTACAGTTCACGTGGGAAGTGGGTCTTCCCTCCTCTCACAAGCGTCCCCGCTCCTGGTTGCTGGGCGCGCCCCGCTCCCGCCAGAGCCTCTCCGGCCCCCCGGCTCGTTTATTTACAGTCCCGGGAAGGATTCCCTTCCCCCAATCTTCAGCGCTCAGGGCGCCCCACCCTCTTTCCAGCGTGTCTTAACTGTTCTTATTGCTTAGTACTCAGTTTCTCTTTTTTTCCCGGGTGGAGGTCAGTCTGTCCAGGGGGCTATGCTGCTCTGGCCCAGGCTTGTCTGTGGGGCTACCGCGGTACTGCGAAGCTCACCTGGTCCGCGTCTTCCCAAGCCGTATGGGCGCCGGCCACTGGCGGCCCCGGGGGCCTCCTCGGTTCTCCGTTTAACGTGAAGTGGAGATTCTCTGCGCCGGCTGGAGATGTGGAGGAGTCAAAGTTATGCCTTTTCTCGGTGATTATGCCTGCAAAGTGTGTCTCCTGCGTCTCTCCAAGATTTCACTATAGGAGGCTCTCTTTCTGCTTCCTACCTCTAGCTGCCATCTTGGAATTCCTCATTCTGTCTCTTATATATAAGCCTCAGGTTTTCTATGAGGTTTTAATTATCAGGAAATGATTTTTTTGTACTCTGTTTAATTTTTGAAATTTTTTCTGACTCTTTTATGTCTTTGTCTTAATCCCCTTTAATCCAGACCTGATTTTCCAGAACTTCACTCAGATTCTTGCTGTTTCTACAGAACTGTCTAAGTCTTTGGTGGTGTTGTTCTTGATACTGGGAATTGAATCCTAAGATTGCTTCAATTTCTAAGATTGTACAATTCTGGAGATTTGGGGGACTTTTGTAGAATTAAGGATTATTTGCCTAGCAAATACTAACCATGTGGAGGAAAAAGATTTTTCATTTAGTAAACCCCATAGAAAAAGTAACCATTGTTTAAATAATAAGAAGACTCTTTTAAAATGAATAATTTTTGTATTTTTTTTTCTGTTTTTCTTTTGTGGTACTGCGGATTAAACACTGGCCCTTGTGATTGCTAGGCAAGCCTTCTATTACTTGGGTAGAGTCCTTCTGGTTTTTACATAGGGTTTTGTGCTTTTGCCTGGGCCAGCCTTAGATCATGATCCTCCTATCTCCATCTAGTGAGTAGCTGGGATTATGTAGGCATGTATTTCCATGCCTGGCTTATTTTTGAGATATAATGTTGCTATATTCTTGCCCTGTTTGGCCTCAAATCATGATCCTCCTATCTCTGCCTCTTGAGTAGCTGGAATTGATTACAGCATGTGCCACACCCAACCTTTTTTTGACTTTTAAATAGATAAGGATTCCAAATTCTAAGAATACAGTGAACTTTTCATCTAGTGAAGAAATTTAAAATTCATACAAGAGTAGTGATCTGTTGAATGTTTTAAAGTGAAAAGGGACAAAATGAACAGTTTTCAGTTGCTAATTATTGTAGGTTTACTAAGTAAGGAATGAATTTCTGGAATTATAAGCCTTGTAAATATAATCTGAGCTTTAGGTGACGGTTTACTTGGGGGAGAAGCCAAAAGTACAAGAAATATCTCTGATTTAGCTTAGGACTGCATTAATGGACAGAAATTTGAAATGAAAGGTGTAAATGCATTGTGTAGTGGAGCAATTAGGCTATGACATCTGTCATTCTATTAATTTCTTGGATTGATTCCATTTATGTGGTAGGCTGAGCTGGTGTCCCCTGAATAATGAAGAAAGTAGATGATGTAATTCCTAAGATTGTATTAATTTCTTTCTTTGCTTTTGTGTTCTTTGCAGTACTGGGGTTTGAATTCAGGGCTTTGCACTTGCTAGGCAGGAGCTCTACTGCTTGAGCACACCTCTAGCCCTGGAGATTTGGAGAAGTTTTGTAGAGTTAGAGATTCTACAGTGCAAGATTTTGAGAAAGCATTTGTCTGGGTAGAAGGGAGTCATTTTTACAGTGTAGCTTCACTCTTGTGAGGACCCCAGCTCCTCTGTAAGGGGAGTGGTGGTCATATACCTAGTGTTATTATTCTTAGAGGTCCTGGCATGATTGATTAATTTCAATGATTCATTCACTCAATAAATACTTAGTAAGAGCCTGTCACAGATCAGCACTATGACAAAGGCAAGTGAATCACTCATGACCAAGCCAGAGATGTCCTTGGCGGCGTGGAGCTCATCATCTCTCCCATTTTAAATTTGTAATCCTCACTGGTTATTCTGTTCCCCTCCTACATTCCAACCCACCAGAAAATACATTTGAACCCTCTTTTATTATTGAAGGCCTTTCCTGTTTGATAAATCTTCGGGGGGGGGGGAAACATTCACAGATTTTTTTTTAGGCTCTGCACTTCAAATGATTCTTAAGCTCACCTGTTGACATTTTGTAGGCAATTCCTTTGAGGCTTTTGCTTGTTAAAATGGATGTTATCAGTGTCATTTAATGTAGTTACATTACATATTACATACATACTGCCTCCTCCCCTCACCCCATGCAGCTTCTTTTGTTTTGATGTTGTCTTTAAATTTTTTTTCTATCATTCTGTGTAAAACAAAGACCTAGGATTATGGGAGAAGTATTTCATGTTACTTTCTAACTCAAACGAAAGTTAAGCTAGGGATTCAATTTTATTAACAACACTCTAGCTAATACTTATTTAAAAACAAGGTAATGTGTCTTAAGCTATGTGTTAATTTCCCAGAATAACGTTTTCTTTTTTTGAGATCTGATAAAGCACCCTGCAAATTGCAAGGCCTGAAAAATGTAGTCTTAACTCACTGTTCCTTTCACCTGCTTTTGGCTTTCTTGATTAATAGATTACTGGCCACTCTAAACCAACCTCACATTCTTTCAAGGATTTAAATCTATTTTTATAATTTAGGACTTGTGTAACTTCTTTTCAAGTTCAGTGTTTGGCAGTGTTCTGGTATAAGCTTCCCAGAAATGTAAGCATATTGTCATTTCAAAGTGGCCTCTTTCAGAGCTTTGGCTGCTGCAGAAATTCAGCTTATGAATCATTTGAGTGAATAGCACTTGTTAATTGTTTGGAGTCTGAAAAATGATCTATGTGATAAATCCCAAGAATGCCATGTGGTAATATGTGAATTTTAAATATGCCATAATGTGTCATGCTCTGACACTTTTAAAGACATCACAGAATTCAGAATCTCTTACACTGGCTAGAAAAACCTCTTTCAAAGCTAGCTCTTCCCTTGATTAACTGTTGAGATTGTATTTTGTAATGTTGCAGAAGCTCCTTGAGATACCTGTTCTCTTTAGCGGTGCTTCAGTCCTCTGTTAGGGTGTGGCCCTTTCTAAATGTCCTGATATCTTACATCAGTATGGTTTTCTGTGCCTATAACTGAGATAACTGCACACACACACACACACACACACACACACACACACACAAACTATTAGGCAGTCCCCTTTAGAAGTCCCATTCTAGAGTAGTAGCATATCAGGATTCTTTTTCTCTGACTTTTCTAACAGACATATACTTCCAGTAGATTACATATGATTCTGAAAGTAGACCTTGCCCTTTAACCACTCAGACCTCTCAAAAAATAAAGCACAACAAACAAAAACAGTGTGTATATTTGTGTGTCTTTAAATTATGGAAATTTTTGAGCATGCTCAGAAGTGGTGTGTAGAATGTGATCACCTGTGTCATCTTATACATCAGTTAGCAGCATTTGCTACTCTTTCATCCATTTTTCTTATTGCTTTTGTTGTGGTTATTCCTAGAGATTTAATGCCAAACATCACAATGTTTAACATAAATATTTAAGTTCATTTATTAGATTTTTAGTGGTAAATGAACATTTGAGACTAAAAATCGTTAAATTTATTTTTTATTTGTGCCTAAAATTAATATGGTACCCATCTTTGTTCCATTCTGATAGGCTTATTTTGCTAAGGCTCATTTTGGTCTCTCCTTGACTGTTTCCAAAACCTTATTTTATTCTTGTCATAACCAGAGTTATTTTACTGGACCAGTATAGACAGATAGCACGGCAACACACAATTTATGCATCTGTGTATGCGATTTTTAAACTTCACTTTTGTTGACCATTTTTGATTTCTGACCACGAAGAGCCAATCAGGTCACCAGCGTGAAATTTTTTAGTTTACGCATAAATAGGCTATATGGATTTACAAAAGGAATGGAGTGAATATTTTGAGTACAGGTTAGTAAAAGGAAACTGGATCATTAAGGAAGACTTGAGCTAACATGATGTGGATTTTTTCATAAGAATTATTCTACTTGACAGCATAGTTCCATGTGCATTTATACTCAGAAACTAGGGCAAGTTGGCTGACTTTAAAAACATAAATATTGGAGGGGGAATTTTTAGTTTCTACTTTACTTCTGAAGTTTCTGTACTCAGACCAGCCACAGTAATTTCTTGGAGAGTTTGATTTCCTGTATCCTTGTAGCAGAACTCCCACCTCCATATACGGCCATCGCCAGTCCAGATGCCAGTGGTATTCCAGTAATCAACTGCCGTGTGTGCCAATCACTAATCAATCTGGATGGCAAGCTTCACCAGCATGTGGTTAAGTGCACGGTTTGCAATGAAGCTACGGTAAGTGGAGGTTTCCATTAATAAAAGACTAAATTACCTGATCGCTTTTTCTAAAAGGAAGTTCTTCAAGAATGTTAGATACTTAAAAGCAGGTATAAGCTATGTACAAATAAGATGATTTTTTTCTTCTGCCTCTCTTTCATCATAAAAGATGCCTCCACATGTTGAAGCTAACCTCATTAAATTTTTTTTGTGGTGATTTTTAATGTAAAGTCATTTGGCTTTATATTATATTACTTTTATTATTTATGTTTTGTGTCATTCTGACTTATTTCACTTACCATGATGATCTCCAGTTCTATTCATTTTCCTGAAAATGACATAATTTCTTCTTCTTGGTCAAATAATGCATATATATATATACATATATATATATATATATATTATATATCACATACCTTGATGAGTACCTAGGCTGATTTCATAGTTTGGCTTTTGTAAATAGTGCTTCAATAAACATGGGTGTGCAGATGTTCCTATTGTATGTTGACTTAGATTACATTGGTTATATGCCTAGGAGTAGTATTGATGGATCATAAGGTAATTCTATTTTTAATTTTTTCAGGAACCTCCACACTGGTTTCCATAGTGGTCACACTAATTTACATTTGTGTATAAGGGTTCCTTTCCTCCACATCCTCACCAGCATTTGCTGTTGTTTGTTTTCTTGATGATAGCTATTTTGACTGGGGTGAGAGAGAATCTCAATGTCATTTTGATTTGCATTTCCTTTATAAACATTTCTTCATGCATTTATAAACCATGAGACCTATGTGTTCAATTCATTTGCCCATCTATAAATTGGAATATTTTTCTTTTGGTGTTTAATTTTTGAGTTCTTCATATATAGTCTGGATATTAATTCCAGGATTAATTCTGGATTTTAATTACATTTATTGTTTCTCTGTACTCTGGTAATTGTTTCCTTTAATATGCAGAAGAGTTTTAATTTGATACAATCCTATTTTTCAATTCTTGTTCTTATTTCCTTAACTTTTGGAGTCCTATTCTGAAAGTCATTTCCTATCCCTATATCTTGAAGTTTTCCTACAGTAGTTTCAGTTTCAGATCTTTAATCCATTTTGAATTGATTTTTGTACAAGGTGAGACACAGGTATCTAGTTTTAGTCTTGTACATATGGATATCCAGTTTTCCCAGTACCATTTGTTGAAGAGGCTCTCTTTTCTCCAACATATGTTTTTGACATCTTTGTTGAGAATCAGATGGCTTATAGCCATATGTGCTTATTTCTGGGACTTATATTTTCTTCCACTGGTGTACATGTCTGTTTTTGTCTCAGTGCCATACTATTTTTATTACTATGGCTCTATAGTATAATTTAAAATCAGGTATTATGACACTTCTAGCATTGCTCTTTTTGCTCAGATAACTTTGGCTGTTTGGGGTCTTTTGTGCTTCTATATCAATATTAGGATTTTTTTTCCCTACTTCTGTGAAGAATGTCTTTGGGATTCTGATGGGGATTACATTGAATTTGTAGATTACTTTTGGTAATATAGTTATTTTCACACTATTAATTCTACTGATGGGTCTTCTTTAATTTCTTCAGTGTCTTATAGTTTTCAGTGTAAAGGTCTTTGGACTCCTTTGTTAGGTTTATTCCTAGATATTTTTTGAGACAGTTGGGAATTGAATTATTTTCATGATTTTTTTTCCTCAGCATGTATATTATTGGTATATAGAAAAGCTACTGATTTTCATATGCTGATTTTTATATTCTTCTACTTTGGTGAAAGTGCTTATCAGATCTGAGGGTCTGCTAGTAGAGTCTTTAGGGTCTTTTAAATATAGGATCATTTCGTCTACAAATAGAAATAATTTCGCTTTGGCTCTTTACTCTCTAACAGGAGATTGACCATGGTAGTTATTTATAATTATCTTCAGTGACTGTCCACATCACAACTAAATTCATCCTTATTTCCACTAAAATAAAAATTTACTAGGCTTTACTAAAAATGTGGACTTTGTCCTTGCTATGTGGAAAATATTTATACTTGTTTATGCCTGTAGGATGCCATTATTATTTTTTATGCCTTTTGTAATTATGCATTTATTACTGACATCTGTGTCAAAATGTTTGTTTACAAATACCTTAGCACTTTATTCCACTTGCTAGATATTAATTCATTGAAAATTAAGAAAAATTGAAGTGCAGTTTTTTTTAACTGAATCATGGGAAGAGCAACTACATTTTAAGGAAAATTTTTACCGTTTCAAATAATAAACTGATAAGGTGTATATTGGTGATGATGTATATTCCTATTTTCACAGTGAGGCTTTATTTTTTAAAATTTAGGCCTCTCACAATCTGCAATTAAATATTAATTTAATTTTTTAGTATTTGTGTTTTTTTCTTTGGAAAAGTCTAAAACAGTCATTCAGTTATTATTGTGACTCTAAGAACCACAAATTATGGATACTGGCATCATGTTTTATAGAAAAGTCATAAAATAAAACCTAAGTAATAAGATACTATATTTCATTGTAAATATTTTTTTTCTATATAGGCCATCATGTGGAGAACTTTATCACATAATTCAGTGATACTTACAAACCCAGCTGGTTTCTTTATAAGTTGATCACTGACTAGTAAACTTCTTTATTAATATCTTTTGCAGTATTGGCAAGTCAATAGGAGTGGTGATATATGATCAACAATTTAAAAAACACAGTGTCTTAGGATTTTCTTTGATTTGCTGTTAATGTTAGTATCTTCTCCCACACTTTTTTTGTTTTTTGTTTTTGTTTTTTTGAGTCAGAGTTCAGCTATCTAACCCAGGCTGGCCTCAAACTTGTGATCCTCCTTACTCAGATCCAGGATGCTTTGCTGAGATGTCAAGCCTGGGTTTGCAGACTTTGCTTTTGGCTTTTGTTCTTTTGTGAGTAGAGAAAAAAGATTTATAAAGTTTTATGTTTACTCTTGTAAGTAACCAAAACAAACTAGGTTATTCATACAGGAACCTCAGAGTACCTATTGATTTAGCAAATGGTCAATCATGCTATCTTAGGAGGGATAAATTTGTACAAAATAGGGTTTGGCTATAAGAAAAATACTTGTGGATGCAAGGAAAATTGTGCTGATTTTTGTATGGCTACTGCCCCTGTGGAGTGAAGAAATGAAAATCACTGAGGATTCTAGAGGAAGTGAATAATATCTAATCAGATTGCCTTGTTTGGTTTACAAAGGAGGAAAAAGTGAAAAGTCTCTGAGGAATGCCTTAACATATGGCTGGCTAATGTCTACAATGTAACTTGATCTTAAATTTATAAGTAAAGAAGTGTTAGGAAGCTAAAAGCTTCTTTGGAGGAAATTCCATGTTGAAAATAATATATTGCACTACAGTTCAACAGAGCAGTTCCCTTATGCCCCACTATCTTTGTCCCTGTTGAATTTCACTGTGATTCATTCTCCTTAAGTCACCCAAAACATGGTTTCATTGTCTGTTCTCCTAGGTGGCAACTGTGATAGGAACCTGATACACCTGTGCAGATAAGCAAACACACACACACACAACACAACCAAAGAAGTTTAAAAGGGATGTGTGTGTGTGTGTGTGTGTGTGTGTGTGTGTGTGTGAGAGAGAGAGAGAGACAGAGAGAGAGAGAAAGAGAGAGAGAGAATATAGAAGATGTTAGCAAGACTTGGAAAAATACAGAAGTAAATATTGAGTTTAAGTTTGAAGGAGAATTGATTTCTAAGATAAGTTAATGGAAAATCTGAGAAGTCTTGGAGAAACAGTGGTACCAGATGACTGTATAACTGAGATTCTGAGGCTGACAGACTAGGGTTTGAATCCCAGCCCCCATTTAGTAGTTCCATATCCTTGGGGACTTTACTTCTCTATGTGTGGTATCCTCATGTAAAGTAGTACTAGTACTACTTACTTCATAGGATTGCTGTTGGGATACAAGAGTAAAATGCCCAGCACTGTGCCTGACACATACAAGTCTATTTTGCCAAGTAAGAATTTTAAAACTTATGCATAAATATATATATATATATATATATATTTTTTTTTTTTCCACTTCACTGCAGACCTAACACGACATGCCATGGACTGGTTCTGAGGACCAGGGCTTGAAATCTTCTAGTTCAATTGCCTTTTGTTGTAAGTGAAAGAATTTAGGTTTAAAAATAGTACAGGAATAAAATATAAAAACAAATCCTGTCATTTGTCAAGTATATATATATGTAGTAATAAGTTTTGAACATATATAAGTTAATGTAAATTCCTGGTACTTTATATTTCTTGATATTTTAAATACTGTAAGTGTGAATTCTGGAGGCTTGTGATTTTTTGTGAAGATTTAATTACCTGTAATATAATTTAGTAAATCATCGGTGGCTTATACTCTTATATTTATACCAAGCTTACTAAGGTAGAATTTAAAAAGTTTTTTCAAAAAAGTAATGTACACACAAGAGAGTTACAAATGATTGTATGTATGATACCCTTCAACTTCCAATGGGGTTATGTATCAATAATCCCATCATAAATTGAAAATACTATAAATTGAAAATGTATTATGAGTCAGCTTACAATAAAAGCACCTATATACCCATGCTTATTGCAGCACTATTCACAATAGCTAAGCTATGGAAACAGCCTAGATGCTCCATTACTGACGAATGGATTAAGAAAATGTGGTATTTATACACAGTGGAATTTCATTCAGCCACAAAGAAGAATGAAATTTTGTCATTCATAGGTAAATGGATGGAACATCATCTTAAGTGAAATCAGTCAGGTTCAGAAGGCCAAAAGCCACATGTTCTCCCTCATATGTGGATTATAGACCTACAACACATGCAGCAATATTATGGGATATGGGTCACACAAAGGAGAGGTCACACACGGGATAGGGAAGAAAACTAGAAACTTGAGGGTGGCTGATATGCTCACTGTACAGGAGTAAATATAGTAATCTTAAACTGGCGGAGGCCACCACGGGAAGATGACTAGGGAGTGGTAAACAGGTCTGATAGAAATGAACCAATTGGGTTTTAATGCATATATGCATGGAAACAACACGTGTAGTTATCTTTATCTCGAACTAGGAAAAACGCCATATTTCTATAAAATGGGAGAACAGGGGGGGCAGGGGGAATGGTTGGCATGGGTGGGAGGAGGAAAGTGTCAGGGAAAGGGGTAGGAGGATGAATATGGTGCATATAACGTATCACGTATGTAAATGAAAAAATGATACCTGTTGAAACTGTTCTAGGAATTGGGAGAGGGGGAATGAAAGAAAGCAGTGGAGGGGGTGGATTTAATATATTTGATACATTGTAGGAACCTTTGTAAATGCTACAATGTACTCCCACCCATCACAAAAACAAGAATAAAAAATGAAAATATACTTCCCATAAAAAAGTAGTATACACACAAGACAGTTACAAATAATAGTAGGTATGATGCCCCTTAACTTCCAGTGGGGTTATGTCTCAGTAAGCCCATCATAAATTGAAAATACTGTAAGTTGGAAATGCATTTAATACACTTTACCTACTTAACATCCTAGGTTAGCAACTTGGCACTCCATACAGAATGGGTTGTTTTTCCTTGTGATCACATGGCTAACTGGGAGCTGGGGCTCTGTTACTGCCCAACTCCTAGGGAGAATCTTGTACTACACATTGCTAGCCTGGAAAAAGACGAAACTTCAAAATTCTAAGTATGATTTCTTTCACTTTCTTCATACCATTAAAAAAGTGCAATTTGAGACGTTACAACTCAGGAACTATATAGGTAGTATGAAGAATACCCATATGTCCATCATTCTCATTCTCCAAAAGTTAACATTTTTACTTCATTGCCTTTTTCTCTCTAAATAAATCAACTTTTAGTGAAAATTTCCAAAAAACCAAAAATCCAAACCCTAGAACAGCAACAAACAACAAAGGACATTCACTCATATAAGCACAGTACAATTACCAAATGTAGGAAATTGGCACTGATACAATACTGTTATCTAATCTTTTCACCTAATTTCAGGTTTCCCCAGTTGTTCTATTAGTGTTCTTTATGAAAAAAGAATTTCTGCTCCAGGAGTCAAACTAGAATTACTTATTGCATTTGGTTTCATGTCTCTTTAATGTCTTTTGATCTGAAGCTTCTCTTCCTTTAATTATCTTTTGTTTTCTGAAGAGTATAGGCAAGATATTTAATGGAAGTCCTCTCGAGTTGGGTTTGTCTGTAGTTTCCTGATGATTAGGCTTTAGGTTATACATTTTGGCAGGAATGCCACAGAAGTGATGCACTGTTCTTTTCAGTGTGATTATTCAGTTTAACAAGTTAACTCTAGTATTGCAAGGAGTGTTGCCTTTGACATTATTCTTATTTTAAAACTTATTATAAAGTTGTTTTGTAAAAATATGTTAGTATTAAGAGCAATTACAAGTTTTTAAGTTAAAGTACATCATACAATTAATCACTTATATTCTATTGGGTAAAGTTTAAGAACAGGTCAAATGTATCATTAACTCCTTTTTCTCTACTGTTCTTACTGAGCTTGATCTTCCTGGGCAGATGCAAGAATCCTTTCTGAATGTTTGCACCTGACTAGAGAGATAGATGATCACCTTGTCTTATGAACTTTAAAGAGAAAAGAACTCTTGGTGTGCACTAAATATTCCTCCCATATGAAAAGGCCAATACAGACTAAATATGAAATAATGTTGTTAATAATTAAATCTTTACTACCCCTAAAATTTCATAGTGTTTGCTATTTGGACCATTGGCAATGCACTTTTTCTTATATTATACCTTGGTAGCAACTATGGAGAACTTTAGTTTGTTGTGTTTGTTTGTGTTTCCTTAAACACAAACAAACTGTGACAATCTTCTTTGGTTAATTTGCTCTGTTTGCATTTTCTTCCTTTATCTAGCCAATCAAAAACCCCCCAACAGGGAAGAAATATGTTAGATGCCCTTGTAATTGTCTCCTCATTTGTAAGGACACATCTCGGCGAATAGGATGTCCGAGACCCAACTGGTAAGAGTAAAGATTCATTCATTCATTCATTTGTTCATTAAACAACTGTTTATTAAAGGTTCATTATGTTCCAGGCTTTGTTCTATATAGTCTTTGTTCTCAATAGTGATTACACCCCCAGATTATTGTTATTGCTAAAGGAATGATATACTTAAAACTTGACGATAATAGATATTTGTAGACTATAACATTCTTGAATGAGTGATGGATGTTTTGATTCATTAAACCATATTTAAAATAACCAATTATTTTACCTTTTATATACTTAATTACCCCCCCGCCCCCAAAATGTTTTAATTGTCATTGTGTGTTTCATTGTATGCTACACTAATTTGTGCTGAGGATAATATATGTGATAAATTCTGGAATTATTTGCCTGTGCCAAATCAAATGCCATTATGGATGTGCTTAATGAAAGTATATAAAGACCTTAACTGTGTTTTTGTTTTTTTTTTTTTCTGTGATTTCTTTGACTTTTTCACCATTACATTAACCATTACAGCCTTTCTGATGACAGACTGGAGAATAGAAAGGAACATGACTACCATTTTATTGTCTTCCCATCTTTGATGAAATAGGCACCAAGGAACACTGGACTTCTCAGAGAAATTAGGTTGCATCTTAGCATCTGGTTCCTTCACGACACACACATTTATATTAATGTAGAAAGTTTTTTGCTTATTCAGTATTTAACCAAACTCAAATTACCTCCTTAGATGAAGAAGGATTAAGAACTGTTTTCTGATCTGAACTTATGAACATTTGGACATGGCAGTTAAATGTTTCCCAGTGTCACTGATAATTGCGATTATACTTGGAATATTTATTCCAAGTATAAAAATATTGTTATTTTTTTGAGAGACTGACTACTTTCTGTGATTTGGTTCTGAAGCTTGACATTTAATTCACTTAATTTACAAATCAAGTATAACATTTTCATTGACACATTCCATGTTTTTGGTCATATGTTTCAGGTTTTTCCTCAGTACATTTGTGGGATAGTGAAATTCTTTCCTTTTTCTTTCCACAGTAGACGCATAATTAACCTTGGTCCAGTAATGCTTATCTCTGAAGAACAACCTGCTCAACCTGCATTGCCAATCCAACCTGAAGGTACAAGGGTCGTGTGTGGGCACTGTGGAAACACATTCCTGGTAAGTAACTGGACATTTGTTCTAGAATATTAACCCCTAAATATAAGTCATGATCTTATAGATTTGATGACTGCTTATAGTTTTATGTTATAGTCTTATAGTTTTTTCCATGTACAAATTGGTTAAAAGGTTAATATATAGCACCTTTTGTGAAATAGACAAAAGATGCATAATGTGATTATTCCACTTACAAAAAGGAGCCTCCCCACCCTGCCAAGCCAATGAGAAACAGTGTCCTTTCCAGGTTTAGCTCTATGAGTGTCTTGACTTGGTGACCAAATAACCAAATAAACCTTAGTCCTTTCCTTACCTACTCAGTAGCAAAACACACATTCTCAAGCTGTAGTCCTTCTTCATGGTTTGTAGATTCAAAAACAACTATTATAATTTATCAAAAATTTTCTGACTTTAAAAAATTATTCTTTGGAGTAAAGGAAATTATTCTGGTTATCCATCATTGGATGAATCATTAGATAAAAAGATGGTATGACCAAAAGTTAAAGAAGTTGTTTACTACTTCTAATTTCAACTCAAAGTTTGATTTTTAAAAGGTTAATTTTGTAATGACTTACCCTGCCAGGAAGGACAAGAACAGGTTTTTTATTTTGTTATTTTTATTCTTTTATTTTTATTTTTTGTTCAGCCTTTATAGGAGACAAGAGAGTTTCTTTATATCCGCAGTATTAAAGGTACCTCCCAAAGTGTTGGCAAGGGAATCTGTAAGTAAAATCTGCTGACATTAAGGACTGAATGAGTTTAAGAAAGTGTGGGTGATTTGTTTTTCCTTTCTTTATTAAAGTAACTCATATGCATAAGTCTTGGTGTCATATTAAACTGTAGTATCTTCATCTAGCTGACTAACAAGTATCATTCTCCGAAATGCTTTCAACTCTTCCACTGCGCTGCTGATCTTTACTTCCCATTGTTCAAATTGTTTACTTATCTTTTTTTTTTTTATTCATATGTGCATACATTGTTTGGACTTCACCCACTAACTTGTAAAATGCAAGTTGAGGATTTGGCATTCATACAACCTCTCACTCATATTCCCTTCCCTGCTTCCATATTCCTAGAAAAGTTATAATATCAGTGTTTATATTTTTTTTAATGATTAGGTAAGTTATTTGTATAACTGAGCCAACTAATAGGCTACATTTTTATATGCCTTTTTAATCTTTTTCTGCCTGCCTCTTTTTGTTTAGTTTTCCATGTACAAGCCATTAGTTCTTCCCATACTTTTTTTTAAATAGAACTATAAAATTCCTGTCAATGTAGTCAGGCACCTCAGGCAATCTGTTATTTAGTCTTCCTGAAACACAGCTGTCATCCTGGTACGTCCTTTACCTGAAAATTTCTTTTGACTCTTTCCTGATTCAGATCCCAGGCCATCTTCATGGTTCTTTGTTTTTTGTTTAATTTTTTTTCCTTTATTGTTGTGCTGGGTGGGGGTACACTGTGGCATTTACAAAGGTTCTTACAGCATATCAAATATATCATACTTGAATTCCCCCCCCCCCTTAGCTCTCCTTTATCCTCCTCACCTCTATTCTTAGAATAGTTTCAACAGGTATCATTTTTGCATTTACATGCATGTGTACCCATTTTTTTGCACCGTATTTACCTTCCTGACCCTTTTTCCCGGTACCTCTCCCCCGACACCACTGGTACCAAACATATATCCCCACCCCTGCCAAGCAGGACTATTCTATCCTCCTGTTCTCCAATTTTGTAGAAGAAAAAGAGAAAAGATAAAAAGTAATGTGACGTTTTTACTTGTTTGAGATAAAGGTAGCTACATAGGGAGTTTCCTTGTGATGTCTCTATGTATATATGTATTATAACTCCAATTGGTTTATCTCCTCTAATTTTCTTCATTCTATCTTAGTCTCTTTCTTATGATGGTTTCAACTGGTTTAAGATTTCTTGTATAGGAAGTATATCAACCATATTCAGGTTCTTGGCTTTCTTCTTTTACTCTACCCTTCCCATATGTGACCTCCCTTTAGTGTGTCCAGTGTTTTATAATATTGCTGCATTTGTGTTAGGTCTGTATTCCACATATGAGAGAGAACATGTGGCTTTTGGCCTTCTGAGTCTGGCTAACTTCACTTAAGATGATGTTCATGGTTTTTTGTTTATCCCTTTGTTTTGTTGGAGCACAGCTTCTTTTATGCTTCTCAGAAAAGAGGCAAATAAGCAAATTTGAGCCCTTTTGTTTCTTAGGTGGTTTTTAATCTAATCTCAAATTCACTTAATAATTTCTCCAGATATTAAATTTGAGTTTTCAGGTTGTTTCCTTTTGGAAAGTTTTAGACTTTACTCTCTTCTTGCTAAGACCAGCTGCTGTGCTGACTCCTTGTCCTTTGCATATGGCCTGTTGCTTTCTCTTTGTTTTCCATTATCCTCTCATTTTCTTCAGTGGTTTAAATTTTATGAGATTATGCCTAAGGCCCTTCGAATTCATCATGTGGGTGCTCCGTGGGTGCCTTACTTGTTTTATTTGTTCTTTCTAGAACACCTTAGATTAGACTATCTAATCTGATTTGACAGTTGACTTTTTTTTTTGACATTTGCTTTTGAATTTTGACTTATTCTTTCATTTGCTAGGAAAATTCATTATATATTCTAAGCCTAATTAAATTTTTAATTTCATATTATTTAGTTTAATTTTTAATATCCAAGGCCTTTGTTCTCTATTTTTCATTTTTATAGCATTTTCTTTATGGCATCTGTCAGAAAATATATTTTTTTCTGAGGTATCATTCTTCTCTATGCCTTGTCTCTGTTTTCTCCCCCTTTTTTCTATTTTTTTTTTTATGATAGAAGTTTTACTCAAAAGTTCATTTATATTCAAGAGTAAGTGACATGCCTGCAGACGGGCTAGATTGCTTCTTCTTTTCCTGTGAGGAAGCTTTCTCTGATTTCTTATGAAAGATGTAGCTGGGAGACAGCATTCTACGAGAAGAGGGATGATAGGGTCAGTGCTTGTCTACTTTTCAAACTGTCAATTTTAATTACTTTGTTTTTAGAACAGTATCTTATTCTTGCCTTTTGCTATACCTTGTGGTCCAAGGCCACAGGTTCTCTATTCCAGTTTCTGTTCAGAATTTCAATTTCTCTTGATTGTGTTGGGGGTGGGGGGTGTTTCTGGTTTTGTGGTATGAAGGGAGACTTTACAAACAATACTGTTATTTTTATTGAGAGGTTTTTGTTTTTTTATGAGACTGGGGTTTGAACTCAGGGCTTCATGCTTGCAAAGCAGGAGCTCTAGCACTTGAGTCACACATACCTCCAGCCCTACTCCTGTTATTTTTTTCATCTTTATTAGGGTATAATTGACAAATAGAAGGAATATATATTTAATATGTACACTTGATGTTTTGATATATGCATACATTACAAAATGATCACTATAATCAAGCTAATTAACATTTTCATTACTTCATATTCTCACCCTTTTAGTATACTTATAGTGAGAACACTTAAGATCTACCTAACAAGTAATTTCAAGTATATAATACAGTCTTATTATCTGTAGTTACCATGCTATACTTTAGGTCTCCAGAATTTTTTTCATCCTGCTGAACTGAAACTTTGTGCTCTTTGACCAGCATCTCCCCATTTTCCCTCTCCCTTTCCCAACCTTTGGCAACAGTGCTTCTTCTCTCTGCCTCTATGGCAAAGAGCAGAAACACTGTTTTATTTTATTTTTTAGTTATCATACAATAATGAAATGAGGGGATTTCATTGTGATAATTCCGAAGATACATACAGTAAACCTTGAACAAGTTCCCCCTGTCCATTATATTTTCTTTCCCTTCTCCTTCCTTTCTCTGTTTTCAAACAGCGTTTGGTAGGTTTCATTATGTTGTATTCCTGTGTATATACATAGTGTACTTTGATCCTCTTCACTCCTAGGTATCCTTTCCCTCCACCCCCGGCACCTGAATACAACTGTTCTAGATTCTGCATATAGACATCATCATATAGTGTTTGTCTTCCTGTGTCTGACTGCTTTAGTAAGCATGATGCTTTGTAGATTCATCTATGTTTTATAAATGGCAGGATTTCCCTCTTTTTAAAGGCTAAGTGATTTCAATGTATGTATGTACTATGATTTCTTAATCTGTTAATCTGTCAGTGGATACTTGAGTTGTTTCCACATCTTAGTTATCATGACTAATGCTGCAAGAAATATGGGAGTGTGATAGTACCTAATGGTTTTAATATCTGAAGCATTGTGGGAAAATACCTGCTTTCCCTGGCTCATCTCTGTGGGCATTTAAGTTTCAACATTCCTTTCACTCAGTCATTTGCCAAGTCTTTGTCTACTTTCAACTATCCAAAAATTTAAAGCTATTTTCCCCTTGTTTTCCTTGTCTTGGTGCTATTATACATTTTTAAGTTCACTTACTATCATTTTAGCCAGGTTTGGAGAATGAAATAGAAATACATGCATTTATCCAATTTACTATCTTAATTTGGATTGCCAGGATTTTTTTCTAATCTATTAGGAAAAGATAAATCTCTTCCCTTGCATTTTATTGATTAATCAGTGATTATACACTTTGTGAGATACTCAACAAATTTCTTTTTAAAATCACTTTATATTGACACTCTGTAGATACCAATAAATATAAAGAGGATTGAACTAAATATATCATGCTATAAAATACTATAAAGCTAAATATATAATTAAACATTTATTATCCTTTTCTTATATGTGAACAAATTATATTTTGAAAATGATACCATTCAAGCATCTTCAAAATAGATTTCTTTTCACCTTACTCAGGGATATCCTTCCACCATGACCTTGCATTCTTCTCTGTTCTGTTTTGCATTCCAGATCTTTATGATGGATTATCTTTGTAGCCACACTATAAATGAGCTGATTTAATTTATTCACAATATATATTGAGCTTGTACCAGATACTGGAATAGGTGCCAAGGAATCAGTTGTGAACAGGAAGCATAGTCTCTTTTTGTGGAGTTTTCTA